ATTCCCTGTGCCAAAGTTCTCAAGTTGGTCCCAATTCCCTCATTGATGGCCCTAATAGTTTGGGGGTTGTCACCTCTTGTATGCAGATAAACTCACTTCTTGTGGCTATGTGACCTGTGTGGTACAAGTTCATTTCTGAGCTGGGCCAAAGAAAGCTGTCCTTTGGTTTGCATTTGTAGTTTTTACATGTAGAGATTGCTGATGATCATGTTTCTACTACTTACATTCATACACTTCTTGGGCTCTGTCCAGCATAGAAAATCCTGCTGCTCCTAGGTCCCGACTGACACCGGGAGGCCCCAGGGGTGTCACAGTAGCAGTATGCTGCACAGGGTTTTCAACAGCTGACTCTTTGCAAGTAGATTGTCAGTTCTTTCTTCAGAGGTGCCGACTGTAGAGAACGAATCTAGTTGCTTGTGTTTTAACAGCTCCATTTAGCTCTGTTATACTGGGCCGGCTGGATCTTACATATCTGATTTTACAAAGCCCAATCCATATGGCATTCCCAGTGTTTTCTTACCTCCTAACTTCTTATACCTTTCTTAAGCTGTGTAAGTTGATATGGATTTAGGACACTCTTTCCATTTACTGCTCTGAAATAAAGATTTCCCTGCTCCACAGCAAAATGAGAAAATTAAATACAGACTCATGTGTGAATGAAGATGTATTGGTATGGGGGGGGGGTGTTCTTAAAAGATGATGCATCTCTGACTTTGAGGCTCATGTATCCATATACCTACTTAGTATTTCCCAGTCTGTTTGGAGCTCTCTGCCAAAGCCCCTGCAGCATCTGAGCAGCGCACCGCCTCCCCTTTGTAGAGCAGGCGCATGCGTCACATGGGACTGGTCCTCAGGGGCGCTGGAGTGAACGGACAGACGCTAGCTGCTGCTGAGCTCATCAAGGGAAAGGCATTCTCTCTGGCACAGGCTTTGTGTTTACATCACATTCTATGACAGCGTACCAGATAACTCCACAAAGTATGATCACATATATAGTATTTTAAAGCCAGAACTTTTGAACATAGGTGTGCATTGTCCTTTTTTTGATTGATTGATTGATTGATTGATTGGGGTCTCCGTACCAGGAGAAAAAATTCCTTTCTTTTCCTCTTTCAGGTCAAAGAGCCTCCAGAAATAAATTTAGTTCTGCACCCTCAGGGCCTGACTGGTGAAGAAGTGTATGTGAAAGTCGATTTGAGGGTTAAATGCCCACCCACCTATCCAGATGTGTGAGTACATTTGTGATTAGCTTTGATGTTCTTTTATTTTCCGTCTTGGCAACTCAGAAACAGCTGGAAATTCCTGTTCTTTTCTCCTTTCTTCCACTCCATATGCAATTTTATTTCCTAACCCCTTTAATTCATAAAAACATAGCAACAATAGACATTTTCATAAAACCTATCTTAACTCTGCCTACGCAGCCCTAAAGGGGCCCTGGTGGAATAGTGGGCCATCCTTTGGGCTGCTAACCACAAGGTTGACAGTTCGAACCCACCGGCTGTTCCAAGGGAGATCTATGTGGCCTTCTGTTCCGATAAAGAAACCCACAAGGGCAGTTCTACTCTGTCCTATTGGGTCACTGTGAGTCGGAATCAACTCAATGACAGCGGGTTTTCCTATTTGTATACTTGTCAGATAATCATCACAGAAAAGAACTCCTGAGTCCTATTTGCTCAATCTTTGGCTCCAGCCAATGATTCTCAGCCAGAGGTGGTACCAGCTCCAGGAGGAGTGTGGAAATAATGTAGGTTTTGTTGTTTCCACTCTAACAAATCGTGTCCTCCACTGTGTTAGCCTTTGTTTGTTTAGTTCTCTACAAACTTTTAAAGAACAAACAAACTCACTTCCATTGAGTCAACTGGGAAGAGGAAATATATAAGTGAAAAGGATATAATACTGATTAATTAAATTTTATTTTCCAATATTAACATGGCTGAAAAATTTATACAAGGGAACAATAATAGAAACACCACACAGACCGGAGACGAAGTGTGGCCCATCTAACCCAGGATTCCTTCTCTCACACGGGCATCAGGGCTATTTTGCAGAAAAGCAAAGTTCTCCTGCATAATAGTATTTCAAAGAAATAAAGACAATTCCCCTTCCACTCGTACACAGGCCTTACATAATTTTATTTTTAATTAGCTAAATCACCAGCATAGAGCAAAATTAACAGATGCCTCATATAAATTACTTTATCTCCAATTTCCAGCTCTCCAAAGAGATAATGGCTCTAGCAACCTGTCATCCTGAAGTATTGGGAGAGCACACCAATAAGTAATGGCTTCTCTAAAGGGAATTACCCAGGTTGGCTTGGCAGGGACTGATGAATAATCTCTTCAGTAAAATTAGACCCTATGAAAGCTCTGCCAGTTGCTATCAGATGCTTATTGGTTGGGAATAAAAAGAAGCTTCAAAGTTGGCTGTGTATTACCTTGGCTAGAAAATGTTACCTCTAAGGCAGGCTCTGTCGGAATGGAGGGGAGCGTGGCTTAGGAATGCTGGGAGTAGTGGAAGTCAGCAGAGTGTGTGTGACTCAGTGTGTCTGAGTGAGCATTTCCAATCATAGATTATAGGATGGGATATAGTGCAATGTGGGAATACTAGGTGGATCGCTGGAGCTCCATCTTACCTAGTTGTTCATGTCTTGCTTTGTGCTAGAGTATTTGAATATGTGCAAAACATTGGCCTGCTGCCAGTGAGCTGTCTGAGCTGGGGTAATCAATGTTGGGGTGCAAGCCAGGGTCAAAGAATTGCCTTACAAGGGAGTGAGTGCATGGTTAAGTTACAAGGCTGGGGTCAGACAGAGCTGGAATGATTTTTTAAGAATAAGCAGAAACCCAGTGTTGGGGGCCTGGGGCAAAACAAAGCCAATATGTTATAACCGATGTTGGGAACACAGGTTCAGTGGTAGTCAGATCTCGAGTTGAGGTCATGAACAGGTGCTGGGGTCATACTAGGCTTAAGCCCAGTGAGCCTGGGGCAGCGGGGACCCTGACAAGCTCAGAGTGAAGCTGTTGACTGGTTTTCTTCCTCCTCGCAGAAGAGGTCATGTGTGTGCCTGGGATGTAGCTGAAATCTGTTGAGATGGAAGGGAATTTTGTTGGAACATAGAGACCAATGTAAAATCCCCAGCACACTAACTTAGCAAATGTTACTACAAATGGGCTGTACTTTCTGAAGTGCCTCATTTCTGCTTTCTTGTCTTTTCCAGCGTCCCTGAAATAGAGTTAAAGAATGCTAAAGGCTTGTCAAATGAAAGTGTTAATTTGTTGAAATCCCGCCTAGAAGAACTGGCCACAAGACACTGCGGGGAGGTGAGCAGTGCTTAACGGGAGATTCTGTGAGAGCCGCTGCACCCACTGTGCTCAGCGGTCTCGGCCTCCTGCCTTTTCTCTGGTTGGAAGTGGTTTCCTGGGAACTCCAAAACCAGTTTGGACTAGAACGTAACATTTCTTATCGGTCACAACACAGGAGAACATGGTTGTTTGTGTTTCTTTGATAAACCCACCAAAAATCAGACTCATGACCAATGAGTCAATTCCAAATCCTAGCAACCCCATAGGACAGAGTAGCCCTGTCCCCTTGGGTGTCCAAGATGGTAAATCTTTACAGAAGTTGACAGCTGCCTCTTTCTCCCGTGAATCTTGATTTGCACTACTTATGAATGACAAGGTTTAGAGTACATTGAGATGGTACTAACTCTGCTTAGTGCCAACTATGTGTACTTTAAACCTTGTAATTATGCACGGTACCGGGTAATGATGTTTCCGGAGCCCTGGTGGTACATGGTTAAAGCACATGGCTACTAACTGGGATGTCAACAGTTCAAGGCAACCAGCGGCTCTGCAGAATGATGTAGGAAGCTATTTGTGTAGGACTTACCACCTTGGAAACCCTATGGGACAGTTCCACTCTGCCCAACAGGGCTACTATGTGTTGGATTCAAGATGGCAGCAATGTGTTTTCGGTTTCAGTTTTTAGTGATGCTTAAAGACTTTTCTGAGGAGCCCTGGTGGCATAGGGGTTGTGCATTGAGCCTTTATCCCCAAGGTTAGCAGTTCAAAACCACCAGTCTCTCCACAGGAGAAAGGCCAAGCTTTCTATTCCCATAAAGAGTCACAATCTCAGAAACCCACAGGGACAATTCTCCCTGTCCTATTGGGTTGCTGCGAGTCAGAACTGACTCATGGCGGTGAGTGAAGGAGTTGCTGAGAAGTCACCGTGGGCCAGGTTATGCTTTTGTTGTTGTTCACTTAGATCCTGCGACCGTGACCTGATCTTGACATGAGCTTTTTGTTAGAGAATGTTTGCAGACAGGCGATTCTGACCAAACAGTGCCATCCATCTCTTACCTTCCCATAGCAGAAGAAATTGTTTTTCGTCTACCACTCCCATGCCCCTTCCATACCTGAGTGGTTACATTTAGTTCAGTACTGCCTTCGACAGCTGAGGGGCCACACAGGAGCGTTCCACTGTGGCGGCGGTGGGGCGGGTGCAGAGTTCTCTGTACTTGGTGGGAAGGATAGAAGAAGTCTCTGTCCCATCTCCTTGGAGGTGGAAATCTCAAGTACTGTTACCAATGTTCAGTATTTACTATGTTCCCAACAACTTGTCAATGCCCTTCCTGTCAGAACCTCCGCACTTGCCATTTGCCTTGGGGACACATTCTGGTCATCGAAAGGAACACAAACTTGTTAAAAGCGAACTAGTGTTCAACAGAGGCAGCATCCTGTAAGGAGGTTTGAAACGGCAGTTAACATGGGAACAGAAGCCTGGGTTCTTCTCTAAGATCTGCTTCAGTTACCTCCATGTGACCAGGAAGTGTGAAACAGATAAGAATTTTATTAGAAGGAATTGTATTTTCAGGTACATTAGAGCATAATTAGTATTAAACTGTGGCTTAGGGATTCGTTGGGATATTACATTCACTGAAAATCATGACTCATGTTTAAATGGTTGTGGTGGCTTCTTGTATGAAGAGAGGACCTGTGGAAATGTTGTATTGTTCCGAGGAGAAATGTCTCATCTGTATATGCAGGAGCCTGTCATTGTATTTGGCACATAACTGTTGTATACAAGGAGATGTTAAGATTGGCTACCCCGAAACAGCATATATTTACACTTGCTATTGGAAACGTGTTTAAGACTTAGCTAGGTTTCCATTTAGATCTTCATATCTGTTGTCCGGAAGAAAGTTGGAATCTTGGCATAAGAGTTGGCACGATATGTTAGATTTTGTGCATTAATACTCGATCAAATCTGTATTCCAAAAGTGAACACAGCATGTACAGGCAGTTTTCTGTTCTGTACGCAAAAAGTAAAAGAATAAAAGTTCTTTAATATATGCTGTTTCATACCCAAATACACCAAATAAACAACACCAAAAATACCAAGTAAACTCTTTATATTCATTCAAAGAAAAAAATAATAAAATCATGAATCATTTCATCATTTGAATGGGAAACAAGACAATGGTTCATAAGCACTTTTTTTTTTGGTATGGGTTTTTAAAAATCATTTTATTGGGCGCTCTTGCAGATAGCATAACATTCCATAGTTCAATTACATCAAGCTGAATTATACAGTTGCTACCACAGTCAGTTTCAAGACATCTTCTTTCTTCTTGCATTCCCTGATATCATTTCTCCTTTATACCCTCCATTCCCCACCCTCCCTTATTTTATTTTTTTTGGCTGTATCTCACACCACCCAATATACCCATTTACATACAATTCTCCCCTTGTTCATTTCCCTTGAGTGGAGGCATACAGTCATCAATGCTATCAGCTGCTTCCCTTTCCCCACCTTTATGCCACCCCCGCCCTCCCAACCATGCTTCCCATTCCCTCAGGGAACCATTACTCCTGTTACTGTTTCTAAAGGGGTAGTTATCAATCTTGGCTTTCATGTATCACATGATCTTAATTACACAAATGAACATATGCAAGTCTAACATGATTAATGAGGTAAAACACATAAAAATCACAATAGTAAGGGGAGGAACTACTAAAGTACTATCCTGTATGCATGTTTTTAAAAGTACTATATTACTTAAAATTATTGCAAGTTTGATGCCTGAACTGACATAAATAATGATGCAGGGGTTAGAAATAACAAATTAAAGCGTGTTCTTTTTGTATAACCTATGTTAACATTTTCTTTTTATTATTAAATAATCATTTTATTAGGGGCTCATACAACTCATCACAATCCGTACATATGTCATTTGTGTCCAGCACATTAGTCCATATGTTGACTTCATCGTTCTCACACACCCGCTTTCTACCCAAGCCCTTGATGTCAGCTCACTTTCCCCCCTCTCTCCCTGTTCCCCCCTCCCCCGGAACCCTTGATAATTTATAAATTATTATTATTTTATCATACCCCATCCAACGTCTCCCTCACCCACTTCTCCACTGTCCGTCCCCCAGGGAGGAGGCCATATGTAGGCCTTATCATCTGTTCCCCCTTTCTCCCTCACCTTCCCTCCACATTCCCGCTATCGCCACTCTCTCCACTGGTCTTGGGGGGTTCATCTGTCCTGGGCTCACTGTATTTCCAGTTCCTATCTGTGCCAGTGTACATCCTCCGGTCCAGCCGAATATGTAAGGTAGAATTGGGATCGTGGTAGTGGGGTGGAGGAAGCATTTAAGAACTAGAGGAAAATTGCATAGTTCATCGTTACTACACTGCACTCTGATTTGCTCCTCTCCTCCCCACAGCCCTTCTGCAAGGAGATGTCCAATTTCCCCTAGATGAGCCCTGGGTCCCCACTCTGCACTCCCCCTCATTCACAATGTTATGATTTTTTTTTTGTTTGATGCCTGATACCTGACCCCTTCACCACCTTGTCATCTTACAGGCTGGTGTGCTTCTTCTATGTGGGCTTTGTTGTTTCTCAGTTAGATGGCCCCTTGTTTATCTTCATAAGCACTTCTAATTGCCTCTGAAGTCAACTACTTTTGTGAGTAATATAAACGTAAAATTAAATGCATCTTAGACTTGATTTTTTTTTTTTAATTAAGATAGTTGATTCATTCACTCCTTCATTCAGTAAGTATTCACTGCATGTCTACCATGTGCCAGGCTCTGTTCTGGTGCTGAAGTTACCACAGTGAACATACTGTTTGAACCACAACGTGAGGGCCACGGGCAGAAACCAAGCAGATAATTTAAAAACCAGGCTGGTGGTGCTTAAGTGCTACAAAGAATAATGAGGAAAAGGGTTCCGGAGAGCGGCAGAGTGGCCATTTTACAGGAGGGAAGTCAGGAGAAGCCCCTGATGGAGCAACATTTGAGCAGAGGCCTCCAGGAAGCAAGGAGATGAGTGGTGTAGGTGGGCGGGAGAAGGGACTAGAGCCAGTGTGAAAAGCAATTCCTGGGGGGGGGGGGGGGGGGAGGGGGAGAGAAGAGGGGAGACGAAAAAGAGAAGTCTGGGGGGGGGGGGGGGGGATAAGGAGCTGACACCAAGGGCTCAAGTAGAAAGCAGATGTTTTGAGAATGATGGGGGCAACAAATGTACGAGTGTGCTTGACACATGGATGGATGGATGGATTGTGATAAGAGTTGTGTGAGCCCCAATAACATGATTTTAAAAAGAAAAGCAGTTCCTACTTCTGTCTTGCAATTAAAGGAGAATGGGATGTTCCCCACAATTTTTAAGCCCCCTTGTAGAAATTGTCAGATTTACTTGTACATAAAACACTAGAAAATTAAATGGGTATTAAAACAAAAAGCAAAACCTCACAGCACAACTCCTAACTCCTTTCTGGTTTAGAAGTGGTTTCCCCCCAACACAATTGGAACCTCTTGCTTTTCCCAGCTTTCCTTCAAAGAGCTTGCCTCTTCAACCCCCCGTAGAGTCTTTTCTCAACTTTAAATCAAAACGGTTCTGTAAACCCCACAGCTTCAGGTGTAAAACAAAGCACACTCGTGCCTCCCGACAAGAGCTGTGATTTCTTTGGGAGGAGTCCCCCTGGAGGAAGGCTGCAACACCACATGAAGCCGCTTCTGTGTCTCTGCACAGTGGCCTTCATATTGACCGCCCCGTTGGGCCCCTCTCCAGATGGTTGCGAACATAACCACTGACATACAAGATTGTTCATGGCTTCGTTCGAATTAAGCAGGAAACCTTGCTGTGGGCTTCCTCACCTTGGCCCTCGTGACCCCGCTGGGGTTGGGTGTATTAGTCCGTGTGGGGTCTTAGAAACTTCTGCTTGATTGAGTTGCCAGCCCAAGTACCATTTACTCATGGCCCTAATGCTGGCGCAAAGTGGGCTTCTAGATCCCTATAAAGAATGTCTGCTGGGGGCGAGGGGATCACTTCTGGCACAGTCTACGCGAGCCTGCCCAAATGGACATGAAATGCTTTGTTAAGGATTGGGCAGCCTCGTACTGGCTCATTGCTAGCAGGGTGATAGGGACGCCTTCTACTATTTGCTGTGGGCCCGGCAGGTTATTGCCGTGTGCTGTCCAGACAGGAAAGCGCCTGTGCAAGCAGTGATTGTTCTCCGCCCAGCCGTCATTATGGAGGCAGATCTTCTAGTCCTGTTCCCCATAAATCTTAAATGTTTTTTCAGGCTTTTTTATACAGGGGAGAAAATTTTACCCCCTATTCCTGATGCAGAGAACGCCATTCAGTTGAATAGGCCTGCAACAGAGGCGGGAAGCGTTTTATTTACCTAGGTGGTGATCGGTCTTGATAGCAGACAATGAGCCAAGCCCTTTCAAGGGCATTTCTGGCTCTGATCGCATCCTGCACCGCATCCAGAGCATGTCTGTGACAACATGACGGGCACCGTTGTAAGTGGGTCTCATGCTGGTAGGCCTGTTTGTCCTGTGGCCTCTCCCCCACCCCCGTCCCCTAGAGGGGAGCGGCATCTTCCCGTGATTTGATCTGTTGTGTTGATTCTGGTCTGCATGCTTAGGTGATGATATTTGAACTGGCGTACCACGTGCAGTCGTTTCTCAGCGAGCATAACAAGCCCCCTCCGAAGTCTTTCCATGAAGAAATGCTGGAACGGCAAGCTCAGGAGGAGCAGCGGAGGCGGCTGGAGGCCAAACAGAAAGAGGAGCAGGAGGTGAGCTGCGGCTGTGAGCCGGCTGGCCTGCCGGGAGGACCCCCAGCGGCAAGGTTCCCAGTCCCTCTCCACCGAGCCCCAGGTTGAGTTCGCCATCCTCACCGACTTTTGCACAGCTTTGATTCAAGAAACCTAGGTCCGTGGGAGAGGATGACCATGGGGAACTGAGACATCATCCTGAGAGGCTCGACAGTCATGGATGCTGGGCTGGCTCTCAGGACTGCCCAGCTCTTTGCTTCTTGTTTTCTGCTTTTGAAGCAGGAGGCGACTTCACACGCTTCCTGTGGTCTTTCTGTACTTACTTGTAGAGCCTGACAGAAAGGCATGCATCTTGAAGGTTACTGTTTCCTTCCCTATGTCCGACAACTGCTACCTAAGATGTAGCAGAAGCCAGAGATCAGACCTTGGGAGTCCCTCTGCATTCTCACTGGGGCAGAGTCGGGTAGGCATTGGGCTGCTCGCTGTGAAGCCAGCAATTCAAAATCACCTGCCGTTCATCAGGGGAAAGATGAGGCTGCCTGCTCCCATCAAAATCTGCAGCCTCCGAAACCCTGGGGAGCAATTCTTACTCTGCCCGACAGGGGTCGCTCTGAGTCAGAATCAGCTCAACGGCAGTGAGTAGTGGTGGATTTCAAATGAACTGTGAAGACCACTTATCCTTTAGAATTTAAGGCGCCTAATACTGCCCTCATTGTTTATGGGAACACACATTGTTTATGAAGAGATAATGAATATTTGGATAACCATCCTGTTTGGGTATGTTGCTATAACTACCTATACATGTGGAGTATGGTTTTTACCTTTGTCTTACTGCTCTTAGTTTTCGGAGTCTTTTCGTAAGTTGCATGAGAACAACCCGGAATTTTAGGGGGCTAATACTAAAAGACTCGATTTTTCCCTACCTCAATTCGGAACCAACTGAGCAACAGACACATAAGTCCAGTGGGTGGGGAGCAGAGTACCACTTTGCATCCTGAGAAATCTGTTTGGACAACGACTGCAGCCTAAGGGCTGTGGCAGGTGGAGCTGGTACCTGTGGCATAGCCAGGAGAAGCCAGCCCTGGCCCCATGACGCCTTAGATATAGGTGCATGGGCTCTGGAGACAGGCAGATGTCCAGGGAGGGCCTTGGTTCAACGTGGAGAGAGTGAAGCCTGAGGAGCCAGGAGGGCATGCTCTTTCCACGACCCTCGCACCCCATGCAGGGAAAAACAGTCACGTAAGAACTCTGATCAAATTGGCCCAACTGGGTTTGCACAAGGGTCTAGATCAGTGGTTCTCAACCTGTGGGTCGTGACCCCTTTGGGGGGGGGTGTCAAATGACCCTTTCACACAAGTCACCCAATTCATAACAATAGCAAAATGACAGTTATGAAGTAGCAACAAAAATAATTTTATGCTGTGGAGGTCACCACAACATGGATTAAAGGATCGAGGCATTAGGAAGGTTGAGAACCACAGGTCTAGATAGTCAGGTCTCTTGGGAAAGGAGGGCTTGAATACTAAAGCCCACAAGATTTCCTGAGGTTCCAGAATGTATCCATCAAAAGGCACCCTGGTGGTACAGTGTTTAAGTATCAGCGGCTAAGCACAAGGTGGGCAGTTTGGGCCCCCCAGCCACTCTGCTGTGCAGGAGGGCGATGTCGCAGTCGGCTCCCCCAAAGATGAAAACCTTGGGAACCCTGTGGGACAGCTCCATTGTGGCCTGCGGACTCGAGGGTCAGAATAGACTTGATGGCAGAGGCAGCGGTGTGGGTTTCAGGGAGAGTCATGATGGTGCTGTGATTTGTTTCAGCGTGTGGGTTTCAGGGAGAGTCATGATGGTGCTGTGATTTGTTTCAGCAACGTGAACTCCTTCATGAAATTCAGAGAAGGAAAGAAGAGATCAAAGAAGAGAGAAAAAGAAAAGAAATGGCTAAGCAGGTATTCTACCATTATGTATAAGGAGCCCTGGTGACATAGTGAGTTACCCACTGGGCTGCTAATCACAAGGCCAGCAGTTTGAAACCACCAGCCACTTTGTGGGAGAAAGGAGAGGGTCCCTACTCCCATCTAGAGGTACAGTCTGGGAAGCCCATGGGAAGAGTTCTACCCTGCCCTATAGGGTTGCTGAGTCAGAATCAACTTGAAGTGGGTGGTTTTTGTTTTGTTTTCTTTTTCAGTATACAAAAAATGGTTATGTTTTATTAAATGTAAAACATTTTCATTGCCATTGGTAATAGCTTCCGTTTCATGTTGCCATTCGTACTAACACTTAAAATGAAGTGGTAAAATGAAAAAATACTATTCTGTATGTTATAATTCCCCAAAAAGGTATCAGAGTGTAGAGCAATATGTTTCTATCTGTAGACTGCTGGGGTTTCTGTAGAGGACAGACTAGAGATGAGGGTGAAGCTCTGGTGGTTTCAGTCATTGGAAAGGAGCACTCTTGATTCATCCCAGAGTTACAGTCTGGGAAAGCAACCACAGGGGCAGTGCTACCCTGCCTAGAGGGCCGCTGTGACTCAGCATCCACTCAACGGCAGTGAGCGTGGCTTTTGGAAGGGTGATACTGACCTGCCTGAGATGTCATTCGCTGGTGGAGAAGAGAGAGCCAACAGAGCAGTTTACACAAGGGGCGGAAAGAACCAAAGCCCTATTCCTCTGTCTTTCCTGAATGCAGCTCGATCAAAGCACGTTACGTGTTTGGAGAAACCCAGAGAAAATTGTACTTACTCTTTTTGTACAGAGATGTGTCACGTCAGGGAAGTAGGCATGTGGCAGGGGGAAGCATGCCCTAAGCAGGGCTGGCTCCGCTGTGGCTTTTCATGCCGCTCTGTGTGACTGTGACATGTGACGCCCTCTGTGACGCCTTTTCCTCGTCCCTTAAAATGGGCTGGCCGTGCCTTTCCTTCCGCTTCCTGTAATTATTCCCGTGGATAAATGGATCTCCCTCTGTGACAATGCCTACTCTTGCAGGGAAGTCAGACGATGCTCCTGTTTCCGTCAAATCTCCCGTCTCCCTTCTGATCTGCCTCCCGCCAGCCACTCCTCTTGCTCGCTCTGAAGGCCCCCTTCCTCCCCTCGTTTTTCTTGCTCTTCTCTCTAACTTTTCACGCATAGCCTGAGTTTCTTAGCTTTTTTAAATTTTGAGAGTCACATTCTCTTGAAACTGTAACCTGACCCTCAGACGCTGGACTCATGAACTTGTAGGTGTGTTAAAATCCCATTTTTGAAAGCCAGATTTGACTTTAATTACATTTGTAAGTATTCAGTTTAAATAAAATTTATAATCTTTACTGAATTGATGATCACGTACTATCCTATATTTTTTTCATCTGTGACTTGCATCTAAGGTAGGGTTCACTTTTCTCTTTGTAGGGACGTTTGGAAATTGTGAGTTTAGCAAACCAAGATCATCCTCCTAGGAAAGACCCAGGGGGACACAAAACAGCGGCTGGTCTCCATGGAGGGTCTCCTGACCTTGTAGGGAATGGTAAACACCGGGCCATCTCTTCGGGAAGGTCTAGGTAAGTCCTGGGGATTTCTGATCGGAGAGGATGAAGTAGGATTAAAACAACTTTATAGTGAAAAATTGGATGGAATTCCCAAGTAAGGATTTTAATGCATTTTTCAAAAATATTTATTTTATTATCTCAATGTTAGATAGCAGTACAATAATAATGACACTCTAAATATCCCTCATGAAACCAGTTTCGTGGTTCATTCTCTATACAGCCTTTACCACTTCACAGTCTTAAGTAGAATTTTATCTGACTTTTAATAGCCCAATTATTTAGCAAGTGATGAAAAAAAAAATCCTTCTAGCTATGTCATCACCATCTGATGATTTTTTTTTTGCTTTTAATAGTTTAATTGGTATATAATTTACATATCGTTCAATTTAATGGTTTGAGCATATGAAGAAACATTGTGCATTCACCACCAGTCAATTACAGATCATTTTCTCGTCATCCTCATTGTTGGCTCCCCATTTCCCCCAAACCTCTTTTACCATGCCTCTAGGTAATTAGTCACCCCATTACTCTTAGTTTGACCAATTCTGGATTTCATATGCAGAAAATCATTCAAACAAAAGTAAAGAACAACAACAACAACAAAATCACAGAGAAAACCCTCAATCAAAAAGAAAGCAGAAAATATTAAAAACTGGAACAATTTTAAAATGGGTCCCAAGGGGGATCAGATGATAAGATGCTACATCATCCATAATTGACTGATAACAGGCTATTCACCATCAATTAAATGTCAAACTGTGACACCACAGATGTCAGGAAGGCTTCAAACTGGACCTCGGCCTAAGAGTCTCCTTCCTATGGGAGCGGGAGCCCCGTTGTGTGCCACATCTCTCTCCCTGTTGCTGTGAGCACACGTGTCATCTCCATCCAGGCACCCGTGCTGTCCCTGTTGCCAGAGGTCACAGAAGGCCACTACCCCTTTCTCCAAATCCTTTTCCACTCAGAGCCGCAACTCTGCAGGGGTCTTGAGGGTCAGAAATGAGTCTGAGAAAACCAGTGCCAGCAGTGGGCAGGGCAGTCAACAGTGTAGGAGTCATAAGCCAGCTTCACCTCACCTGTAGACTCGCTCTGAGCAGCACTGTGGACCCTCGCTCACCTGGCCTCTGTGAAGAGCTTTCAGGAACTCACTAATGATCTACATGAACCTTTGAGATGCAGCCTGTTCACCAGAAGAAACCATTCCTCTTAGCTCCTAATTATCTACCGTATATACTCGTGTATAAGCCGAAGTTTTCAGCACATTTTTAATGCAGCTTTTGTGGTAAAATTAGGTGCCTCAGCTGTTATTCGGGTCGGCTTATACTTGAGTATGTACGGTGCTTATTTTAAAATTAAAACTGTCTAGAGAGTAGTTTAGATATGAGTGCATAGCCTCCTACTGTGAGATGAACTGAATATGTTTGAATACTGCTGATGGGGACATCCCTTTTTAAGGTGGTAACTCCTAGCCCGTATAGACTATTTCTGCTATCACTGTATTATTAGGCCTTCCCAGTATGCTTGAAATTGTCAAGGTTTCACTAGGAAATTATCCGGTAAATTTCTTAATGTGTTAGAAACCTAGTATAAATAAATCAATGATGCAAATAAGCTTTTTCAAGTAGATGGGGAAATTTTAAAATCTTAAAACATCTCGAATTTTGTGTTCGCAATAAGTGGATCTAAGGGTAGCTTTCTTTTGAGATTAAAAGAAAGGTTACTCAAAAGAGGAGAAGCGAGTCTTCTGCCTGGCATGAGTAGAACAACTTTTTGTGTGACATCGTAGAGTGGCATTTGTGTGTCTGGGATTGGACCATGTTCCCTGAACATCCAAGAAGGAAGATCAAAAAAGCGGTTCTCAAAAACAAAACAAAACAGCAAAAAGCGGTTCTCATCTGTTTTCTCTGCTTGCCCAGGTGGTTGCATCCCTCATAGAGCTGGATTCCGATGCTAAGTGTGTTGGCTACTGACTAGGGAAAACGGAATTGTTCTTGAAGGGCCATTTATAAGCTGCCTTTGGTTAAGAAAGAGAAAGTCCTCGAAGCCCCAAAGGGCTTCTTGGTATACTCTTGATTATTTTTCGCTTTTCAGTGGGCTTGAAAGGTCAGATCAAAAGCAGAGTGGTTTATGTTCTTTGACCTGGTAAGTACAGATCGTACTGAGTTAGATGGCCTTACGGTCAGTAGCGGAATTTGAATTGGCTGTGCCTGTCCTGTGTACCATCAAATGGGTTCTGACTCATAGCCCCTGGGAGGGTAGAACCACGCTATAGAGTTTGCTAGGTTGCAGTCTTTACAGGAGCCGACCACCAGGTCTTTTCTCCCATAGAGTGGCTGGTGGGTTTGAACCCTTGACCTATTGGTTAGCAGCCAAGCACTTAATCATTGTGCCACCAGGGCTCCTTAACTCTACCTAAAAGTAGCAAAATGCACAACCATGATTCATTCATTCAGCAAATATTTATTGAGTTCTGGATTAAACTTCTGATGAATCCCTTCTGACCACTGGTCAGGGATGTGAATCGCCTTGCTATCAGGCAGAGTGCACCGGAAACTAGATAAATGCAGATGCAGTTTGGTTACCATCTAACAGCTTATCAATTGTTCTCCCTTTTGGCCAATTTTAAATTTGTTCTACTTTTTATTATTTTCTACTTTCCTTTCTACTGAAGTTTTTCTGTTTTAGTTTGTTATCTTTGTTGGTGTCTGTGTGTATATTATATGAAATCCAGGATAGGTAGATCTATAGACACAGTAACTGGATTAATAGTTCTTAGGGTTATGGTAGGAGAGGTTTGGGGGAAATGGGGAGCTGATAACAATGAGTACTAGAATGGAGAAGATGAAATAATAATCTATAACTTATCAAGCGTTCATGAGGGAGGGAGGGCGGGAGAGGAAGGGAGAGAAATGAGGAACTGATATCAAGGGCTCAAGTAGAAAGAAAATGCTTTTAAAAGATGATGGCAAAAAAAAAAAGATGATGGCAGCATATGTACAAATGTGCTTGACACAATGGACGAATGTATGGATTGTGATGGGAGATGTAAGAGCCCCCATAAAGTATCTAATAGGAAAAAAGTAATGGAGAAAATGTTCTAAATTTGATTGTGATAAGTACACACTCTTTTTAATGTGTTTAAACTATTGAATGTTGCTTATTGTAGGATAGGTGAATTATATGTCAATAAAACTTTTAGATAGATAGATAGATAGATAGATAGATAGATAGATAGATAGATAGATAGATAGATAGATAGATAGAAAGAACTTGCTCCATGCCAGGCACGGTTCTGAGTCTTGGAGATTCAGTAAATAAGATCAAGAAAACTGCTTTCATGAAGTTTATATTCTAATGGTGCACAAATATCAGATAGTGATTTGTGCTATGCAGAGAAGTAAGAATAGATTGTGGTGCTCGCTTCGGCAGCACATATACTAAAATTGGAACCATACAGAGAAGAGTAGCATGGCCCCTGCGCAAGGATGACACGCAAATTCGTGATGTGTTCCATATTTTAAAAGAAAAAAGAATAGATTGTGTCACAGGAGCCTAGTGACTACTTTAGATTAGGGGTAGAGGAAAAATACAAGGGTTGGCTATTGAGTGGCTAAGGCAAAGTGGCGTTAGGTGGGGTGAGGGGTGTACAGGATCTGGAGTAAGAGAAGGAGCCAGCCACCTGACGACTAGAGGAAGAAGATCCTGCGTTCAGACAATGCTGGTGCGGAAGACTTGCCACAGCACAGGCTCACTAACCAGGGTGGCTAGAATCGGTGAGCGTGGGAGAGTGGTTCAGAGGACAAGCACAAGCAGTACACAGACTTCAGATATAATGAGAAGCCTTCAAGATCTAAAGCAGGAATCGGATCCCTTCTGACCCACATTATAAAGCTCCTCCTGGCTGAAAGTGCAGAATGAATGGCATGGGGAGGGGAGAGGAGGGGGGCCTTCACACCTCATTTTCTACTTCTCTCCCCACCTCAGTCAGCCTCACCGCATTCCAGTCACACTTCATCCTTGAGACCCTTGAACGTGGAAAGCGTGGAAAGCGCAGACAGCTTGCTCTTATCATTCAAGTCACCCCTTAAGGGACAGCTCCTTAGAAACATCCCTGAGACTCTCCTTCCCGGCCTCCTTCCCTCTCTTGGTCAGTTCTTGAGTTTGTCTTTCTCCATAGCACTCACCAGTAACTGAAATGCATATGCACCTGTTTGCTTTGTCATTGTCCCGCTCCTCTCCTGAGACCATAGAGTGTGTGAAGCGATGTTTTGGGTGCCTTTAAGGCCGACAGCATCTTTAACCAGGCCACTCTGCTGTTCTTTATCTGTGGCACTTATCAGACATTAGTAAGGCTGAATGTAACCAAAGGTTTCCACTGCTTAAAACAAGAGAAGGGAACAGAGGTAGCGGGTGGGGTGGGGCGGTACTCCCCATTCCGGTGGAAAGAGCTTATTAGCAGGGCCTGTTGGCTCCGCTTTTCACTGATGTGATGCATCTGCCATGATTGAAGATCTTGATTTTCTGGGTCTTCCCAGTTTTCTTTCGCAAGGTGTGCCTTTGTGTGCTTTATACAAGGGACACTTGGAGCTTTTCAGGCAAAGCAAAACAAGATCTCTATGAAATGCATCATATAGATCATGGTAGAGTATCATGTGTACATATCCAGACTTACCTTCTTTGTCAGCTATTCTCTTGAGCAGCTGTGTAGCCCAACATTAACTTGTGTCGCCTGGAATCTGGCATTTACACCCTGGCTCTCCTCTTGCTCCCACCATCTTTCCAGATCAGGTAATCTCCTATTTGGTTTTCCCGATCCGAAAGCAGGCTATGGTGACTGCTGACTCCTCATCCTGACAGAAAGCAGATACTTGAGTGGAGAAGTACAAGACGTGGACTTCCTTCCATGCTTCCCTCCTCCCCCCACCCCCCCCAAAAACGAGGAAACCACTTAAAGTGGAAAGGATGTAGGTGGTGGGAGATAGAGGAGTCCTTAATTGGTGTCTGTAAACCTGTCCCCTCCATTGTCTCCTGTCCCCTCGTTAGCTGTGGGAAAGCATAGACTCTTCACCTCCAATTCAGTTGCATCAGGAAGTCTCGTTAATTTATTTCCACCGAACTGTACAGAGTTTCTAACGGAGAGATCAAGCGCTAGTTTTCTGTGTCATCTTGGTGAATTAGACAGGAGGGTGAGAATATCGTGGCCCAGTGCATCTCCGGTGGAGGTATCCTGTCTCTGTCCTGCCCCAACCATGTGTGTTTGCGAACACTCCACAGTTCCAGAAAGGATCATTGTACTCAAACCCATAGTGTCCCTGCTTCTACACAGTGGACAAGAACAAATTCCCACCTCGTGGGGGACCCGCCTCCGCAACCAGTAGGGTCCTAAGGAGCGGTTGTGTAATTGAAAGGGGAAATTAAAGAGACAACAGACAAGACATGCTAGTGCTTGTTTCTTCCGTGGAGTCTGAAACCAGAGAGAGAGCGCGCGAATGTTTTCTCTAACAGGCTTATATAATCTCAGAGCATGCAAGCCACACCGTACACATATGTAACAGGAAGGGCATGTACTGGCGGCCAACACGTAATAGGAAGGGGAGCTACTAGGGGCATACACATGACAGGAAGTAAAAGGGTGGACAGGTCCTAGACTTAAGATACCCACTTAACCGTGGTCTTCCCTGAGCTGACTTGCCCTTAGGTGTCCTGAACTCTTCTCCAGGGGAACAATCTGTGATCCTTATCAGAAGGGACTGGGCCATCCTTAGGGTGAGCGGACAATAGGGTCTAATTGCTCTCCATGTCAGACAACCTTCAGGCAATCACCTTCAAGTGCACAGTAAGCAGCCATGAGCTTGAAGAAGCATCTTTAAGGTTGGCATTCTTGGGGGGCGGGGTGGGGCAGAACATTGTGGGGGATAACCTTTAGGTAGGAGAATGTGACTGGGATTCATCCCCAGCTCATGAGCCTGAAGGCCTTCCTCCACCAGAGCCGGCCTCCCAGTGTAGAGAATTTGTCCGAACGCACTCTCTTCCCAGTTCTCAGTTTCCCACACCACGTCTCTCTTCTTGCTCCCCTGGGATTTTTCTTTATCACTCTTCTTTTTTGGTATCCCAAGATCCTATGTGCCTAAGTTAGTCTACAAAGATGGATTGCCTCTAATTCTCCATTCTAGTTAATATTCCGTTTTGCTTATCGCATCCTTATTTGAGTAGGCTGTCTGCTGCCTCCTGTACAGAGACAGTGTAATGCTGCTGGATGTAGGCTGCACACTGCCTCTCTGCACCCCTGATCAAACATGGTGATGTTTTTCATTATTCTCCAAACTCCCGTGACCACTCCACAGCTAGAAGAGATCATTGGAGATGAAACCGTTCATGCCACTGTTTCTAAGCACTAGTCAGGATGGTATTTCTCCTGGAGTTCAGAAGCTGTGTGACTTATAAACCGGTTAGGTACCAATAGATTGTCATTAAACCCAGTTGTTGAAGAGTTAGGCAATCTGAGCGACCAATGTATGCCTATCTGTGTAAGACTCACCTCTGGTGAAAACAGTAGCTATTGATGACTTTGGAGTTTGCCTATTTATTCCTTCATCTCAAAAGTGTTCCAGTTGTTGAATCATCTATCCCATGTGGCATGTACCACATTTGTCATTTTCTTGCCATTTAAAATACTTTTTAAATGACTTCTCTTCCATCTGCCTTAATATATTATCTTTTCTAACCCACTCAACACTCTGGTTATCTTCAACTTGTCAGTCATGAATGAATTCATAAAAATACCTGGAATCAAGTGTCAGCACATGGAATGTACTCCTTAGTACAGCTAACCATATGAGATTAAAAGGGCAGCAGTTGCCCAAAACCCAAGGTTCGGAGACAGGAAGGGGCAGGACAGAAGGAAAGGGGGAACCCAGGGAGGATGAGGGAAGGATGCTGTCATGTGGAGGGACTGCAAGGAGTGTCATAAAACAAAATTTGCATGAATAGTTTTGTATGGAAAACTCGCCCAAGCCACAATAAAGAGATGGTTTCATTTGTTTCTTTGTAAGTGTTAACATACTGTAAACCAAAGGATAAAATGATAGATTAAAATGACTATGTGTACTGATGTAGAGGTGCTTCTGCATAGTACATGTTAATAAGTCTAGCATAGCATTCTAAGCCATCGTTTGCTTTTATTCTTTGCTCCGTATGTCTAAATTTCCCCCTGGTCATACAAATGACTTTAGAAGTAGAAATTGAAATAGACCGCCATGTAGTTGTCATCCCCTGGTGATGATAATGTGCAGGCGCATGTATGTGTTAAATACTAGAGACCCCTTTCATCAGAGATTGTTTCAATCTGGAAACCTGGAAGGAGTCAAGAAGATGGGGAGATGTACAGGCTTGAAAGTGGAGAGGCCAATGAATACATAATCAGGTGTTGCATGTTATCAGGAGAGAGTTGGTGGTGACCTAATGAGAGCAGGGAAAATAAAAAAGATGATGATAACTTGGGGATCAATTAGGTGCAGGATATTGGGTGTGAGGAGCCCAAGGTGACTCACACTGAGATGGAATAAGTGAGACTATCAACCAAAGCAGAAGAAACCAGGGGTGGGGGGGAATCAGGCAAGTGGAGGTGGGAAAGAGATGGTGGTCTCACTGTCATGATCCCCTGTTCAGGGACTGGTCTCTCCTAATAACATGCCCAAAGTACAAGGAGAGGCTTGTCATCTTCACTTGTAAGGAGCATTCTGGCTACCCTTCTTCCAAGACAGCTTTCTGTGTTCTGGCAGTCCCCCGTACTTTCTGGATTCTTTACCAGCACCGTAATCCAAACACATCCCTTCTTCCTCAGTCTTCTTCATCGGTGTTCGGCTTTCACATGCATATGAGGCCATTGAAGATACCATGGCTTGGGTCCAGCCCTCTTTACTCTTGCTTTTCAACAGTTTAAAGAGGCTGTATATAGCAGACTTGCCCACTGCAATATGCCTTTTGATTTCTTGACCGTTACTGCCACAAGAATTGATTGAGTCCAAGCAAGAGGAAAACCTTGACGTTGATCTTTTTCCCAGTTATTACGGTCTTGTCTATTGGTCCAGTTGTGAGGGATTCGACTTTCTTGACATTGAGTTGTAATCCATACTGAAGGCTGTGACCCTTGATCTTCATCAACAAGTGCTTCCAGTCCTCTCACTTTCGGTAAGCAAGGTTGTGTCATCTGCCTATTGAAGGTTGTTCATAAGCCTTCCTCCAATCTGATGCTGCATTCTTCTCCTCCTCCTTCTTCCAGCTCCGTGGATTATTTGTTCAGCACTCGAATTGAATACGTTTGGTGACAGGATACAATGCTGGTGCACACCTTTCCTGAGTTTTAAACCACATAGTGACCTCATGTTCTATTTGAACGACTGTGTCTTGGTCCATGGAAAGGTTCCACCTAAGCACAATGGAGTGTCCTACAATTCCCATTCTTCTCAAATGGTTTCTATAGTGTATTAGGATACACATAGTCCGACGCCTTAGCATAGCCAATAAAACACAAGTAAACAACTTTCTGATATACCCTGCCTTCTTTCTGGCATTTTCCTGAATTACTTTTATTTAATATTTATTAACTTATAAATGGCACCATATGACTGGTGGCTACTATACGAGACAGTACAGATCTAGAGTTGGGTTGACAGGGATAATCTGAGAAAGACTATTGGAGGAGTCGGGGAGTTGAACACCGCTCTCATGAACACGTTCGACTAACTGAATTCCCAGTGGAGACTGATATTAAGGCTATGAATGGGCTAACCCCCCTATGTGGGAAATGCAGAGGCAAGGATTTCCTATGTTAATCTTAAATTTTTAAAAAACATGTCCAAATTTCTTTTTCAGGCGAGAACGTCAGTATTCTACGTGTAGTGGTGAAGAGTCACCGGTCTCTTGTGAAACCCTGTGTTTCTCGGTGGGTAACACTGACCAACTCACGGTGCACAAAGGCAAATGTATTGGTGAGTGAACTAACCAAGTTTATGTACGTTATTCGGGTCGTAAAATTAGTCATGAAGGATGTGTCAGCTAGACCAGCGCAGGCCCAGGAAGACTGCCAAACCAACAGGCAGGCATGCTGACCCTCTCCCTAGAGACCAGAACAAGAAGTCACTAAGGTGTCCCCATATGTAAGATGGAAATAAATGCCTGTGTGCCTGGGGTCATTTAAATTCATCGTCAAGGCCTTCAGAGACCCTGAAGGATGAAGGGAAAATTGGTGCTGACAGCACAGCCTGGTTAACAGAATTCTTTCATGGAACCATATATGTGAATATTGTAGACAGAGCCCTGGTTTGGTTACCTGTATACATACCACAATGTTTTAAAATTGTTGTCATTATAATTTTCCAAAGAAACCTTGCTAGCATTGTGATTACGCCTTGGGCTGCTAACCACAAGGTCAGCTGTTCAAAACCACTAGCTACTCTGTAGGAGAAAGAGGAGGCTTTCTACTCCTGTAAAGAGCTAGAGTCTTAGACCCCCACAAGGGCAGTTCCGCCCTGTCTTCTAGGGCCACTGTGCATCACAGTCAACCTAATGACTGAATCAAAATGGTAGAAATATTATGAATCAGTAGAATGTTGTGTTTTGTACATGTGTTATTGATAATGTATAATAAAGTGGGTTCTAATGCCTATGATCTTTAATACCCCAATCTCATTTTCTTAAATTGATATACATCTGCTTGGGCATTATCCAGCCAGAAAAAGCACTTTGTTTTCTTTATGTTTTATTTGGCAGCTTTCTCTACATATTTATTAAAGGCAAGTTTTCTGTATCTACTTCCTTTGCCCTCAGTGTACATTGCCTTTACCACACAGATATAGCCACCAGTTGGTAAAGGTGACTTGCATATATTAAGTTTTTTATAATGAGTTTTCATTTTCAATCCTATGAGTGTTTTTGCCAGCACTAACAGGTAGCCACATTCTTGAAACTGAGTTGGCTTTCTTTGGGCACCCTTTTCCCTTTCTCGTTAATGACATGCATATCATCAGGGAGCAGGCGGTTGGTAGAGGGAAGAAAAGCCCAAGAGTCTGAATCGTCTCTGATTTGGACACTGAACCCTGACAGAGGACAAGACGCCTGGACAGTCCAGGCAGGTACACAGAGACGACCGTATTGGGACAAGGCAGCCATGCATACAGGCAGGTTCAAGGCCTTGGTGGAGGTGATGTTTTCTTTAGGCCAGAGACCATCCTTGGCTTGGAGACATTTCAGATTCCTGGAATTGACAACACAGAGCTCCCTACTGTACGGTAATCTGGGGAAATGAGGCAGGCAAATTAATCTAGCGACTTATTACCTTGACTCGGTTTCTTATTCTCACTGGTACTCATTAACGGATTCTCCTTAGCTAATACCCTCATCAGGGGGGATATATTTGCAATTTGAGAATCCTTTCTAAAATCCCCAAGTAAATTTGTTTTTTTCCTCATTTTCTAAATATGCCATAATTTTCTAAGCAATATTTTTTTAATAAAAAGCCGACTAGTTAATTTTTTATTTTCCTTGTATAGCTATTGGAAGCAGAGAGAAGAAGAGGGAACTTGCATTTTGGCTGGGGATGAAGCACCGTAGAGAGTCTTTGTAAATGATCACTGTGAAAATATGCAGCAGATTCTCAGGGAGAGTTCTTTTGTGGTAGCACATTTTCGTTGAGCCTCCTTGCAGTGTGTTCTCTTATTTTCTTTATGATCCCCTCACACAAAAGTGGCAAGAAGAATAGCAATAAAAAAATGGTAGTACCCACCCCCCAAACCTAGCAAATGATGAAACTCCTGCGCACTCCCACTTGGAGAAAGAGATATTGTAAGACATCACGCTGTCTGCAGAACACATCGTGTTAGGCTTTATGTAAATAGCACCACGCTCCATTCCATAAGCATTTTATAATCACGTTTCCCCCAAGTGCAGCCACTTAAATTTCACATTCCACTCCAGTTGCTTCTTTTGGTGGACAAATCTTCAAATATCAGGGTACCACCCCCACACACATTGCCTTTGGCTAGGAAGAGGATCTTCGGTGGCTGGCACAGTGGGTTACATGTTGGGCTGCTAACCTCCAGGTTGGTGGTTCAAACCTACCTACCAGAAAGAGAGATGAGGTCCCCATGGCACCTCTAGGGAACAGTTCTGTTTTGCCCTTTCAGAGCGCTGTGTGTTGGAATTGACTCCACGGCAGTGGTTGGTTGGTTTAAGAATGAAGGTGCCCTGGTGGTGCAGTGGTTAAGTGTTTGGCTCCCAACCAAAAGGTCAGTGGTTCAAACACACTAGCTGCTCCTCAGGAGAAAGATGAGGCCGTCTAGTTCCGTAAAGATTCACCGCCTTGCAGACCCTCTGGGGCTGTTCTACTCTGAGGCAAAAGCAACATCATGGCAAAAGGTATTTTTTGTTGGTTCGTTTCTGGTTTTGATTAGGAATGTAGGGTGTTATTTGTGGCCAGCATGAGAGATCACTGTAATTCAAATCTATAAAATGTGAGCATTCCTGTGAAGTAAAAACCTGCTTTGATACAAACTCGAGGTGAGTTGATTCCTCCATCTTTCTCCAAAGTACTTTTGCTAAGACTACTTTTCTTATTATATAAATTACTTCCCTTTTAATGTTCCAAATGGAAAAAAAATAATCATCGGTGGTTCTTCACAAAAGATGATATGAAAACAATATAGTGGATGAGAAACTTACTTTTTGCCAAGAGAAAGAAAGCAGACTACAACATGTCAGTGGTTTTCAACAAGAGAGTGATTCTGCCCACTACGGCACTTAACTGATGAACGAGGACAGAGGAGAAGAAGGAAAAACTATGGAGTTGCGCTCTCTTGCCCGTCCCTTGTCATCAGTTTTCAAATGATTGGTGACTATAAAGGACACAAAAAGGCTTCCTTGGTTGTTCAAAACACCATTGCCTTCTCTCTGTCTGGAGATATTTCTTGGTCACAGCGTGGGGAGGAAAGAGCTCGTGCGCTGTGAAATAGCCTTCTGTGCACAAGACAGCCCCTGCAGCCAAGGACCGCTGGTCTGAATGGCCGCTGTGCCAAGACAAGAAACCGCTACGTGTCCGATGACTTGGTGAATCAGGGTGGTGTGGCAGGGGAGTGGAGAGGACACTAGCAGAAAGGTAGCACGAGATGGTGGTATTATAGGAATGGTTTTTTCCTCTAGTCCCCAGGGGAGTTTTGGTTTGTTTTTTGTTTTTGTAATTTTCTGTTATAGTCTGATGAAAGAAGAGATTTTTTAAAAGAGCATTTTTGTTGTTACAACAGGTTAGCTCTCCCAGAAACGTGTGGGGACAGTATGGCTGTCACTAAAAACTAATGTGCCTGCCTTTTTAGCTTCAAATTTAAACTGTCATTTCCAAATCTTTCAAAACCATTGGCCAATGTGCATTTGCTGAGCAGGCTCACATTTTGTTCTTAGAAAACCATTCATGTATTCACATTTCCAAACTGCTAGGTACCTGTTTTTACTGTATACACTAATCTGCATTTGGTCTGATACATAGATCTCATTGATTCCTGTCCCGTTGTAAAAATTAATGTTTGCTGGGGGTGGGGTGGGATGTGAATGTTTGAGGGGTTAGATCATAGTGGTAACTATAGACATGGTTGTAAGAAAGCATGCACTACATGAAATATTGTTCTCAGCGTTGGCACATGATACCCATTGTTGAATGAATGAGTGTTTATTTCCTCCCTTTTTTCTTATTGAAGATGTACCAATGAGGATTCAATTACATTTTCTGTTTAATATGCAGGCAGTGACGAGCAGCTTGGAAAGTTCGTCTATAATGGTTTGGAAACAGCTGCTGGCAGCTTTGTCTTGCTGTATGAATGGGTCCTTCAGTGGCAGAAGAAAATGGGCCCCTTCCTTACCAGCCAAGAACAAGAGAAGATTGATAAGTGCAAAAAGCAGGTAGGTGTTACATGACTAAGCCACAGCCCCAACATTGAAGCTTTCCCACGCCCTGCCACGGCGTCAGTTCCAGTTCTTTGTGGCCCTATGGGTTCCTGTGTTAGTCTGGGTTGACTGAGAAACAAATTCATAGACACTCATATGTTTATAAGAAAGAACTTTATATACAAGAGCAACTGAGTATTGAGAAAACATCCCAGTCCAGATCAAGCCCATAAGTCCGATATTAGCCCATATGTCCGATACCAATCTATAAAGTCCTCTTCGGACTCAGGAAACACATGCAATGGTGCTGAATGCAGGAAGATCACAAGCCAGTGGGTGGGAAGTCTTGTGGATCCAGTGGTGGTGTAAGCATCTCAGCACTGACAGGGGTCTCCTCCGGCTTCTCCAGTTCTGATGACCTCAGGACACTAGCATAGCTCCATGTGTCTTGTCAGCCGCAATGTCTCCCAGGGAGTGAGCATGTGCCCTGCCTCCAGCGAGCAATTTATCTACTTAGCATCTCCACATGAGGTATTCAAGCTGTGACCTGATTGACGGGCTAACCTCCACCCCTTCACTCATAAGTCTCAAATTGACAGCAGATTATGTAACTACCACCGTTTCTGAGACTAGATTCTTCACAAGAACAGACCACCTTATCTTTCTCCCACGGAGCTTGTGGTGGATTTGAACTCACGCTTGGACCACTGTGCCTCTTCACCTCTGCCTCAACCCATACTATGGCATTAGCAGCCACCTCATCCCGGGCCTAATCTGTATTTAATGATGGTGCTTTCTGCACTCATTTCTGTTTTCTTTTTCACTCTTGTGAAACATTGCTTCAAAACAGTTTGGGAAGACTGGAGAAACTGAAAGTGAACTTGTAATAAAGAGCTTAAGGAAACCTGTAATGGTGCATATTGCAGTGTAATGCAATAAAGAGCTTACAAAACAGGTAAAACACTGGGTCGTATTGCTAACTGCAGCATCAGCAGTTTGATTCCACTAGCCATAGTACTTTCAGCCTTGGAAACCCATGGGGCAGTTCCACTCTGTCCTATTGGGTTGCCATAAGTCAGAATCGATTCAACAACAGTGCAGGATTTGTTTTCGTGTATTTATGTATCGAAAGAAAAACTGGAAGTAGCAACAGTGAAATTCTAACAGTTATCTTTAAGTTGTAGCAATATAGGTAATTTGGGTTCTGTTTTCTTCTTTTCATTAGTATTCTTTAGAATTTTGACAGTAAGCCTATAATCAGAAAAGTTTTTTTTTTAAATAATGTTTTTTTTCTTTTTCCTGGTGGCTGTATCTCAAAATACATTGCTTTTAAAAACTGTTCATTAATTTTCAGTATTTTTAAATTTTTCAGTATTTTTAAACTAAGTTTTGGGATTTAAAAAAAAGTAGAGAATTCACTGATTCTCCCTCCCCCCAACCATAGGCCCCCACCAACACTGTCTTTATGAGCTATTTGTTTGACTCTCTAGATTTAGAGGCGGCTCATGTTCACCCACTCTTGTCTGAAAATACATCTGCTTCAAATGCTTCACTTTTGAAGGGAAACCCCAGTTAAGTCGATCAATCCAAGTTTACCTGAACTGTTTTCCACCCTGTCAGATTCAAGGGGCAGAAGCTGAATTCAGCTCTCTGGCGAAGCTGAGCCATCCAAACATAGTTCGCTACATCGCCATGAACCTTCGCGAGCGGGACCATTCCATCACGGTGGACATTGTGGTGGAGCACATCGCCGGGGTGTCCCTCGCCACGCACCTGAGCCACGCGGGCCCTGTCCCCATGCACCAGCTCCGCAAGTATGCGTCCCAGCTCCTGGCCGGCCTGGAGTACCTGCATGGCAACTCTGTGGTGCACAAGGTCCTCAGGGCGTCCAGTGTCTTGGTGGACGCAGAGGGCACTGTCAAGATCACGGACTACAGCATCTCTAAGCGCCTGGCCGATATCTGCAAGGAGGATGTTTTTGAGCAAACACGAGTCCGTTTTAGTGACAGTGCCCTGCCCTACAAAACGGGAAAGAAAGGGGACGTCTGGCATCTTGGCCTTCTACTGCTTGCCCTCAGCCAAGGCCAAGAGTGTGAGGAGTACCCCGTGGTCATCCCTAGTGACTTACCGGCCGACTTTCAAGACTTTCTGAAAAAGTGAGTACTGCTGAGAATCTTGGATGGAAGTTTACACCTGTACATTTGACGGTGTGGGGGGGTACCAAGTGCTAAAATGATGTTTGTGTGGGCAAGAGACAGATTGAGAGTTCACTCTTTGCCCTTTTTGATCCTGCTTCACATTTGCTCCCTAAGACCCACAGTGTCCCAGAGCCACTCAGACTACACTTTTAATGGCTGCTTGGAGGATGTTCACAGGGATCAGTCTGGTGACACGTGCCTGGGTATTCCACATGGAAGACCCTTCCCATTCGCTTCTGCTGCTGGTTCCTTAGGGGTCACGGCCAAGGCCTTCTATTTAGAAAGTGGCTTTAGGAGTGCGATCATGGCCCTAGTTCTTCATGACAAATGACTTCTGTACTCTAGGGAGAGTGCCGATAAATTACAAGTGCATGTTCACCAAGTTTTGTTCCGTTTGAGCCAGTCTTTCAAGTGCTCAGTCTTTTCTAGTTCAGCCCGGCCTCTGTTCTCAGTCCAAACCAGAACTATTGTCAGTTCCTCTCTCCGTGGGAAATGAGACCCTGCCGTCTGGGTTTTCCAGATAACACTCCCCTGGCCCAGCCTTCTCCCCAAAGCTGACCTGGACGGACTTCATCCCTCCCCACATCCTTTTTTTTTTTTTTAATAATTGCATATTTATTTTTCAAAGTTGAAATTTTTTTTAAGTAATGAAAAAAAACTCATAATAGAAATGAAAACTTATGAGAACATAGAATCGGTAGAAAAAGTTGTGACGATCAGAAACCACTGTGTTGTTAGGAGC